CTTATATTTATTTTATTCTTCTTTGTCTGTTAAATGCATAAATCACCAAACAACAGCAGCACACGTGCGCACATCGCGAAAGTCGTAAACGTTAAAGCTTTCACGGACTCTTCCGCGCTGAATTATATATTAATGAGACAGAGAGAAGCAAAGTGGATCTTTCTTAATGTGAAAATGTCAGAGATTATTACTTAAGGGCCTCGTTTGGAGCTTTGTAATGATTGTAATAACTGGGAAGCACAGTGAAAAATGTCACACATAAAGTGCTTTTACGGTTTTTCGTGCTGCACAGGATCAAAAACATATAGCCGTCTGTCGAGACAGAAGCTGTCACATTTAGGTGTCAGAGGAGTAATTATGAGGAAAAAGAGAAACCGTGCAGAAGATTATAAGAGCACAAATGTGTTTTTAGTGGAGATAAGTCATCGCTACAGCCCTCGCTGGGCCCATGGAGCTGTAACATACACTTTAAATAGCTTTTTTTTTTTCCACCTCAGAGGTGCTGAGTGGAAACATGGCTGCACTTTAATCTGACGTTTTTCAGGATTTCGACTGGGCCTCAAATCGTTAATCACGAATGTTGATGTTGCTGAATTAAAAGTTGGGTTTTTTTGGTATCCTCACATGCAAGAGCTGATCTTTTGGCAGCTCTTGTAATTTTTCTCACAGCTGCATCACATTCAGTGTGTTTAAAGCACAGAAGTCATCAGGTTACAATCAGCTTTCTGCAGTGTTTCTAAATATCATGAATATGAGAAACTTGGTTACGTTATTGTGTTGGGATATCATGAAGACGGTTACCTCAAAATCTGTTTGATTGCCACGTGGCTTTTCCACATATCAGGAATTTGTCGTAGTGTTTTGGTGCCTCACAGTAAACACTGACAAGTAGAGACTTTTTAAAGAACGATAAATAAAGTTAAGAAGCAAATGTTGCAGGTCAATAGACAGGAAGTTCTACTTATTATTGTCTAGTAGTACAAGTCAAATAAAAAGCAAGGATTTTAGGTAATAAAAAGTAATACAAAAGATGTACAGTGTGCAGGGATGTGTAAGTTATTAGCTTAGGAGTGTGCAAGTTTACAGAGTATAGGTTGAAAACAAGTTGAGATGCGCAAGTTGATACCGAGATTCGTAAAATGTGACTTAAATTCGTATTTGCAATGAAAGTACCCCAGCTGTCACAGGTATCCTACTGGAGATTGTGATTTCTTCTAAACAATGTTGGCAAATTAAGGAGGAGCAACAGGTTCGCTGCAACTTGTAAAAAAACGAAAGCCTCAAACGTTGTGAATGAAGACATCAGAGTTTGAGACGGTGATCAGGGACCGATTAAAGACGACCAAAGCCAGAATGCAAATGCTGTCACAAAGCATTTATTACACCTATTTACTATTTAGATTCTTGCAACTGCATTTTTGCACGTGTTACTTGAAAGCTTCATCCCAAGTTTTTCATTCAGTCCTTCCATAAGCTTTGCCGTGATATTAGGAATCGTACAATCAGTGATGTTGGTGCTGATTACCAAATTTCTGATCTTATTTTTCCACTCATTCTAATGAATAACTACTTACCTGCTCTTCACCAGCCGCCCTCCAACTGTCTCTGTCTGCTGGTTAGCTTGAAATACTGAAACACAACCAAAACCAGAAGCAAAGGGAGGATAAAATTCTCTGCACAGCTGCACAGTTAATGATTATTCTCTGTGGGTTTTGTACTAAGAATGACCCCTTTCACATTCAGGCTCAAACAGTACAGCTGCTTTTAGTTCAAATGATCATTTAGAGGAGGCGAACAATCACTAAGCCTCTGAAAATAGACTTTAACGCGGCAGTATTTATTGTTTAAGCTCTAAGTCTCTGCTTCTTGGTTTTCTATTATTTCCCGCTCAGCCACCTTCTCTCTCTGAAGATCATCCTCGCTGCAGCTTCTCTTCCTCCTCTGCAGCACTTCTCATAACTTGCAGGGCTGAATGTGTTCATACCGAGCAGCCTTTATGGGGTTTTCTCGGCCCTGAGTTATGGTAAGCAGTTGAAGCCGTCCGCGAGCTTCTTTGACAACAAGATCAATAAGACTTGGCGAATGTCGCCCAGGATGCCATTTCGGTTCTAACCGGCGACATAAAAGAGCCCCCAGGCTGCCATATTGGTCCAGACGCCCCCGCTGCTCTCGGCTCTGCTCGTTTCCTCGCGAGCCCCCGCAGGGAAATCACCTTTCAAATAGTGACACACTCATCTTCTGTGGAATATATATGCAGCGTGAGGTAATGAAGAAGTGCATATGCGCAGTGGCATTTCCACCGCCGTCTGCAGACCTTCAGTACAAAGTAAGATATACTCCCCCGGTGTCAGAGCTTTGATAGAGATGAATGGAGGCATTGTGGCTGTAATAAGATAAAGGTGTTGCATGTTGACATTTCTGTTACGACTTGAGAGTCACATCATGGGAGCGCTCAGAAGTACACAATAAAAAAAAGACCTGGGAGTTGCAGAATGTAAATCAATTGCATTTTTATCCGCCCGGTCCGTCAGTCAGCGTAGCGGAGAGCTCACAGTGACGAGAAGTGAAACCAGCTGCAGAAATCACACTGTTATTCTGCTTCCTTTAACATGATGGGAGCCCAATATGAAGTCATGTCTTTTGCCTTTGTACTGTAAATATTGTCATTCATGATTTCTTTATGCTTGTCTTAATAGATGCTACATGTTGTTCTCTAACCTCAGCAGACGTGACATGTGATACCACCTGGAACTATGGAGCCTGTAGTTGTCATTCAAGCTTTGACCTTGTTTTACCTTGTTAATATGTGTTTTCATGTGATGGAAGACACATAATGAGCAAAAACAATTAAACACCATGGCCGAGAACTTCCACCGATGAACTTCAGTGTAGTTATCATAATCTTAAATACACTGATTCACAGCACTCTGACAGAAACAATCCTGTCAGGTTGCAGCAGGGGTTTCTGTTTTATTCTTCTTCAGAATCGATGTGTGGTTTAGACGCGTATGGCTGAATTCCCACAATACTGCACATTACAATAGTAGTGGGAGGTGAGCTGGTGTGCTTGAGCTGCAGCTAGTGGGAAGGAATGGGTGAGAATTGAGGCAGCAACTTCATAGATCTGCACATTCATGGGAAAAACAAAATCTGCATTTGTAAGTTTGATACACAGAGAAGAGCTTTTGGACAGACACCTCTTTCATTATCTTTTTAGATGCGACTGCGGTGAAAGCTTTGTTTTGCAGCAGGACTGACAATCAAGTATGACATTGGCACTTACATAAATGCCTTGAACTCACAGATTGTATGATAAACAGGGTTTGAAAAGTAAAGCTTTGAACCTGCGTTCTTTCTAACAGCCAGCAGGGGGCGACTCCTCTGGTATCAAAAAGAATTGTATAGAAGTCTAAAGAAAAGGAACGTCTCCCTTCATCCGTTACCTCGGTGAACATTTTACTGATGCGCTTTCGGTCTCAGTCGCTAGTTTCAAGTCTCCTTCAGTACAGCATGATGTTCATTTTGTCCATTATATGGTTCTATTTTAGAGGAAAACATGACGATAAAGCAGGGTTTGTTTTAGGTCATGGATACCTTGTGACTGACAGGCTGTTACTGTATCACCATGTGTCAAATTCTAAGTTCCATCCACCCCTCGCCTGTCACATCAGAGTTCGTCCAAATTCTGAACTTGAGGCTTCAGAACGATAGTAAACAAACCAGAGTGCTGTCATGGTGGCTCTGACATTTATGCTCACAAGCCTTAATCAACAAAATGAAAAACTGATGAAATAAAGAAAATCTGCTGAAGAAGTTCATCCTTAAATCAGTCAAATAATTCCAAAGTCAATCAAGGTACCTTGGATTGGAGATCTAGTTTTGACCAAACTGAGAGGATTACTATACTTTGGACTTTTTAAATTAAATACATTTAATCATTGTGGTCAATCATTGATCGTATATTTATGCCTATGTGTCCTTGCATCAGTACTAATATAACATGAGGTCTCACACCTAGATTTGTTACTGAGAGTTAGAAGAAAAGATTAATCTGTCAGAGAATTACGCTTTATAAACAACGTTTGTGGTTCTACAGAGAGTTGTGTGAAGTCTTTTTAGTCGAGCCAATGACTTCCAAAGTCCAAACCGTAAAGTTTTTCTTTTTTAGTTTTAGTGCAACGACTGTTAAGTATGCACGGTAGTAGCCATACAGTAGCATCTGTTATGTTTGATCATTTCATAAACAAAAATGTCTATATAGAAGCAAAATTGTTTTTATATGTATGTATATTTCTTACTTTTGCTGTTGGTGATTTTCTGTCAGTACAGTCTAATACCTCTTTGAAATCCAACTGTATGAAGGGATATGAATTCTTCATTACTTTGTGCCGTGACCTTTGACCCTCTAGATCCTACATCTGTTGCAGCAAAACTTTACAAAGACGTATCCACAAACAGCAAAATGTTCAAACTGAAAATGTGCGACAGAAACAATCTGTTAAAAGTTATTTAAGGTCCATACCTGAGTCAGCTCTGTTCGCTGATGAACTGAGACGCAGTTAAAAGCTCAGAAAAAAAAAAAAAAGCTAAAAAAGACCTTTTAATGTTTTCAAGGTCAAGAAAGAACTTCCACGTTCAAATAATACATCATGTCGCTGAAGCCGGAGGGGCTTCCAGCTTCATTCATGTCGTCTGTCTCACCTTAAAGAGCTTTGATTTGTTTCATCTACAATCATCTGGCTCCAGCAGTCTGTGGATTATATTTAAGGTAGCTGGAGTCCCAGAGGACGATGGGCGGCCTCCAATGTGATGCCATTAATTCAGGTCCACAGCTCTTCTTTTGATTCCTCCCCCCTGCCTGCGATAACCTCTGTCAAACTGAGAGTTTTTCTCTCTTTTTTTTTTTGTGCACATCAGAAAATGTTGAAGGTTTTCCCTCAGTGTGACTCAGACAGACTTTGAAAGCAGCGACTTGATGTGAATGTTATTTTGTGTTTCAGGTCTGGTGAAGCTCGGCGTCCACTGTGTCACGTGTCAGAAAGTCGCCATAAAGATTGTCAACAGAGAAAAGCTCAGCGAGTCGGTTCTCATGAAGGTAAGACGCTTGTTAATATCTACGTAGTGTGTGGATGCACTTGTGGGCTTAGATGTCAGGGCGGATGCAGGCGATATGTCATATTTAGAAAAAAGTGTATTTGTTACCCCCCAACAAAAACATTTTCAACTACTTCAGTGTCGTTTCTTGCAGGAAACGTCAAGTATTTTTTAATAGCAAAAAAAAAGAAGCGGAAGTCCATTCTTTACAATCACATAACTACTTTTTCTCGAACTGCCATTTACTGCAAACATTCATTTCCACACCCACAGAGGCAGGAAATAGACGTGGATGTGATGCGGGTTCAGTTTTAATCTGTCACCGTGTCACCCACTCGTACTGAACCGAGGTGATTGGTCTCACACTGCAGCCAGGCTCCTGCTCTTTGTGGCTCTTATTAACGCTGCCACCGCTTCACTTTCCTCCTTGAACAAACAGGTGGATGCAGCTAAATCCGGCTGAATGAGTCACATGTGCACTGAGGTTGATTCACCAGTCAGTGTGTTTGTTCCTATGCTCGGCTGACGTCATGTGTAATTTTAGCGTTGAAAATATTGAAGGGTCACTTCTCCCAACTTTTGAAAAACATGTTTTTTAATGTGCCTCTAGTGTTTTCTATTCATCCAGGTAGTTTTTTCAGCTTTTTTGTCAGATATCTGGAGGAAACTTTAATCTCTGAGTTCTGTATGTTATTCAGAGGCCATCCTAAGTATTAATACACACAGTTGTACTACACTTAATGAAACAACTGATTTAATTATAGATTAAGACATAGAAAATTGACTTATTCTGCTCTGGTGCAACATCACCGCATTCAGAACATCATAAATAGTTTGTGCATTTTAAAAGCTCTGTATGTTTTCTTTTTCTGTGTATCATCTGAGCGTTATCAGTATTTTGTACTCATGAAAAAATCTTTGCAAAATCTAGATTTTCCTCTTAGAAAAGCAGCTGCAAGGAACAAAAAGGTTAATAATGAAGCTGTTTATGGAAAGAAAAAACTATTTTGTGTGAGTGACATGAAATCTCAGACCAAACTCATCAAAGCCTGATATCACTCGCAGCAGTAAATATATATATTCGAATAATGTGGGCGAAAGAATTCCTTAAGTATTATTTGTGGCAAATCCAAATCTAGTCCATAGAGCTTGACATGTTATTATCCTAAATAGTCAATGTACAGCTAAAGGTTTCCTTTGTGTTTTGGTGACTTCATAAATGTTGACTCATTCTTGTTTAAGCTCTGGTTTGAAGTCCACCAACTTCTCAGGCAAATATCAGGTGTATATATGTACACCAGAGAGGCTTTAACTGTTGTTGTCAGCCAAGCAAGTCAGTTTATAAAGGTTGTTTCTGCAGATGGAAACTATAACAGCAGTGAGACTGAGCCCAAACTATAAAGTTATAAAACCAAAACAATGAGCTTGAAGAGGATAAAATGCTGAGTAGAGCTGCAGAACTCGTTATTATTCTCGTTGTGCTTCTCAAAACGAGGTACTCATTTAACGTTACACATACATATTTGATTAATTATTGTTCTAGAAATATTGATTTGTGCAGCTTTAACCACATCAGCAGAGCGGTGCTCATGTTTTAAGTCTCTGCACGTACAACTTGCTAAACCTGACAAAGTCATTTTCTCAGGAATACACTTGGAGGAACTGTCTGATCGCAGTGATACGAGCCTCATTCCCCAAATTTGCTCTCTCATAACATGTAAAAAAAACCCATCCTGATTTGACAGCCTGCAGTACCATTTTCTGTCTTATTAAACTCTGTCACTGTCTCATACACTTTACAGAGTGTCGGAACATTTCAGTGTGTGTAATTAGAAGCGATTTGGACTGGATTAGCGTCAGGAAAAGACATTTTTTTTAGACAAGACAGGCTCGTTACAGCCGGTTTATTGAAAGGAAAACGACACGCCGACACAGAGGACGAACCCTGTGAGTGAGTCACTGTCAGAGGGGCAGGTTGGACTAATTGGAACTAATTTTCAAACGGAAAAAGTATGTAAATCTTTGCTGTGTTTTACATTTTTTGTAATGAAAGTGTGTGCTTTTCTGTTTGTTGGATGTCATGTGACCGTCAGTCTTTACTTCCTGCTGATAAGCCGTCCTTTAATGAGCCGAGTGTGGGAGGAACACTGCGACCTCCTCTCTGTTCAGGCACTGCTGGCTGCTAATTGGTTGTTAACGCTGATGTTTCTGAAAACGTGGACGAGTGTTTGACTGTCGAGTGGCGTGACGTCAACTGGAAGCTGCCAGTATAATTTAAAAGTCACTCTGGAGACCGTGAGAGACGTCAGTGACGCGTTCAGGGTCACACTGTCGAGCTTGTTGCTGATTCCTACCATCAGAATGACAAATCTGATCGGTGATAGTCGTGAAGCAGCATTTATCTGCCTTATTACCACACGCGAGGTGTCCTAAAGCAAGGAACCGAAAGAATGATTCAAGTTTATGATAATTCAGGCTAAAATTTCAGAGTCTGCACTAGAACTGTAACGAGTAATTGATTAGTTGTCAACTATTTTATTAATCTGCAGCTGTTTTGATAATCAGTTAATACATTTTTAAGGGAAAAAAAGTCTAAAATTCTCAGATTCCAGCTTCGTAAATGTGAATATGTCCTGCTTTGTTTCCTCCTCTATGATGGTAAACTGAATATCTGCAGCATGTGGTTGAAACACGAGGACGTTCTCTTGGGCTTTAGGAAACACTGACTGATATTTTATAGCCCAAACAACTAATCAATTAATCTGAGAAATACTCAACAGATTAAGTGACAGTGAAAGTAATCAATAGTTACAATGACATCCAGACAACACGAGCAGTCACACAGTCTGGAATCAAACCTGGGGACATAAAATAAAAGCACATTTATCAAAGTGTTGAACGAAACACTGCACTGACAAATACTTTCCAATATTTTAGTGGATCACAGATGATTTCAAAACACTTTAAAGTCTTTTAGATTCCACTGTGTAAAGAGGAGCCTAATTACTTAACCAGGATTTTCAGTTCTGTCAAAAGATATATGTAAATCAGTCGCAGTGTTTCTGTATAATTGTCTTTTGACATGTTGCAAAAAGGAAAAGTTTCCTTGCAGGAAGCTGCTTTGTTATGAGATGATCTTGTCTAAATCTTGTGGCTTTGTTAAGGAAATGCATAATGTCTTGTGTTTTTAACAAGTGTGTATTAATTCAAAACTAGACAGATTCATGTACACGTTTCCATTGTTAATATCAGGAGTTAAAAAAAAAGGTTTTTAAGGCCCAAAACGAAGACAAGTAATAAAAAACAAAGAAAAGGAAAAACGAACAATTGCAAGAAAAACTAAACTCTTGATATCAAAATGTGGAATAACACAAACTTCAACTCTTTGTGGTTTAAGTGTTTATCTTACTATAGGCTGACTGACTACTGATAGACCAAAGTAGCGTATTTTAAAACTCATTTAGCTGGATTCAGTTTCACAAAAGAACAATAAACAATCAGGAAAATACAGAATTTCACATCCAACACTCCTGGTTGATTAATTACTCTGTATCTTACATCCTGTACATCCTGATTCAAAAGATGAATAAAAAATGAGATAAATGTTGAAACACGGAGCGACCTACAGGGAAAACTTGGTTACAACACGCTGCTGAAGCACAAATACTCAATAATTATTAAACCTCTGGTGGCAGAATCATTTTAAGAAAGTGTTTTTAGAGGTAAAGATATTCAGGAGACTTGACTTCCATCACAAGAGGAAAAAAACAAAAACATATGTGTTTGAATGAGTGACCACAAAGTTGAACGTGTCACTTCTTTTCTTCAATCTTTGCAGTAGTATCAGTTTTTTTTTTGTTTTGTTTTTTTTGAAGCAACACTTTTTAGTGTCGTGACAGCACAACACTCTGGTGCACTGTTAGCTTCTCACTTCCCCGTCAGATAATCGCCGGTCGGCTTCCAGTTCTCTGTGAATGGAGGATCCGCGGGCAGCAGATGCTCCTGTGTTCCACTCGACTGAGATGATTCCTGCCTGCTGACATGGCTGTTGGATGCCAGCCGTCCCTCCTCTGTCTGGGGGGTTGCCCCGGCAGCTTTCTCTAATCTTTCCCGCCTCGGTCTTATTTTAGAAGAAGCCGGGGCCCTGTTGTCATGGCAACAGGCAGCTATTGGCTCCAGTTATGGCCGTTGTGTTCTCACACAATGAAGTCTGAGCAGCCATCGAAAATACATGAAAATATATATGGAAAAAAAAAAAAAAAAGCAGCAAACCCAGACGGGATTCAGAGGAGTGTTTAAAGCATCGCCGCTCTGCTCCTCCTGATTCTTCAGCTGGCATTTTGAAGAGACCCCATTTTGTCCCATTTTGTTTGACATTTTCAGATGTGCTATTTCTATTTCTCTCCTCTTCTGTTTTTTTTTTGCTGCTTTTATCCCAAAAGTTTGTGAAGCGTTGGATGTATTCTGTTGTGGTTTTGCATATGAATGTGTCTTTTGTTCGCGATACAAGACGCATTTACATCTCCCTTGTTCATTGTTACTCCCGGAATCTCTTAAAGGAATAACCCAAATCATTTCCATACAAATACACTTTGTTTTCTTCTTAGATCTTTATCCATGACTGATACAGTTTACAGACAAGAAGTTTTTTTTTTTTTTTCCGTCGGCTGTGCTGAACGCTCACTGTCTGGTTTGTTTGCTCAGAGAGGAAAAGGTGACTGAACTCAACATTCATTGTTGATTGAATCCCTTTGAGCAACTTATCTTTATGTTTACTGACTAAAACCTCCAGTTGTTGTGTGAATTGCTGCTATTGTCAGGATTAAAAGTGAACGTGGCTCCTCTTGACATTTTGCTGCTCAGTTCCTAATAACAGCCTCACTAAGGTTCCTTTATTTTACACTTTCTAACCACTTGAGCAAATTAGTTTCTGTACTTGAACTTGAACCTAAATGAGCCATTATTCTTATAGTTCTAGAAGGGGCGTGCTATGTTTTCTTG